TAAACCCTGCTCACATACTGCTTAATGTGCGAACAGCCCAAAACATAAAATAAAATTGTCATTCCATTAGTTCGACTACTAAATTAATTAAATAATTTGGCTCCATAAAAAATTGATTAATGGGTCACTTTTGTTTTCTTTGATCAAAGTATTTTTCCTTTTGTGTGTAAATGAATGATTGGGTGCTTTCATGGCTGAGAGCTTTGACGGTTGACTGCATGTCTGGATCTTTTTGTGCTCACATGGTATTTTGAATTTTCTAGTTTAGGAATTTATATCCCTTTCTTTTGGATAAGGAGGACAAGTGGATTTTACATGTATTGGATCACAACAAATCCCAATTAATTTTCTATGAAAAGAATATTTAGTGAATGGATAATGTGTTGAAATTTAACACGCTATCTACTAGGATAATAGATCCATGCTACATCTTGACATAGTTGCAAGTAATTCTCTCGTGTCAGGCTTCAAAAAGACGGGTTAATGGTCCAACATCAATATTATCCTCAACTTAATCACATGTGAGACCAACAATTCTCTTCATTTACTAGTTTATATTTATTTTAGGGGCATAAAACCAAATAGAAATATAGGGAGTAGTCCAACTACTTATAAGCATATGCAAGATCCATCATTTCCCCGATGTGGGATTGATACTCTCAACACACCCACTCACATGTGGCGAATTTTTAAGCCTAATACGTGGACATCACAAATCAGGTGACATGGAGCACGTGTGGCCGTCGGACTTCACACGCGGGACAACTTAATCTAATACCATAAAGAAAGTTACGATTCCACCATAAAACCAATGAATTTGTACAAACTGTATAGCTAAATCTATAATCTTCGGAGCATGGCCACTAATGTTGGTCCACCCCTATTGCAAATGGACTGGTAACTAAAGTGGTTAAGAACATTTACCCTTACACCCAAGGTTCTATCTTCAAGTCCCTCTCCAATCTCCCCAATATCACTCATATATAAAAAAGAACCTAATTTAATGCTCATTCAAGAGAATAACATCAAATTTTCTCAAAATTGGATAATCACATCATGTACTAATATGTGCGAGTAGGGGATTGCCCTGGTCGATAGGTTCTTTCTCTTCAACATACTGTGTTTTAGGTTCAAACTTTCACTCTCCCGTTACTGTAGCTCTAAGAACTAATATTGTATATAATAACAATCATGTGCTAATGTATTGATCCATCACTTAAAGATTTTTGTTCAAGTATAAAGGTTGTATGGGAGGTCAGTGAAAACTTTAGACCTACTAGCCTGCTAGTAATTCATTCCAAATATTTTTACTTGGGGTGGTGCTATCCATACATCTATTTTTACCTTTCACACACATCTCTCAATTTTCGGTCATTGAAACCAATGAATTGAAAATATCAATGGATAAAAATTAACAAGGATGTGTGAAAGGTACAAAGGAGTGTGTGAATCACTACCCACTTGGTACATTCATGCATTTACATCATTCATTGTATCCAACTATATGGATTCACCTATAAAACTTCTATATATACTCTCCTGTATTAAAAAATCTATATTTTATTATATTAATATTTTTCCATAAAAGAAAAACATTATCTTTTGATAAAAATTAAGGAAAAGGCAAAATCATAGGGGTTAATTAGTTAATTTAAGTCATTTATTACTACGGTTTAGTAATATTCCTCTTTACTTGTTAGTGAAAGGTCTTAAGTTCAATTCTTTCCAAAGACGAGTTTGAACTACATTATTACTAGCTCATTGTAAAGCTAAACTCACATCTTCTCATTAGTGTAGACAATATCATTTGGTAAAAATAAAAAAGTTGTTAATTTAAAATTTGTGGATTAACAAAGAATAATTAGTGGAAGAAGAGGAAAGGCTTAAAAGGAGTTCCTAGGACAACAACATGAATATCGACAGCCAAAAAGGAACAAAAAACCTTTAGTTTATTAATTGCAACAAATTTCAATTTGAAACCTAGGACCAAAACAAACACAAACATGTCATTCACCAAGGAAGAAAATCTATTAAAATGAAATTGGATTCTAAGAAAATATAAACCTATAAATTGCAATGTGGGAACGTTAAAACACATATATTCTATTGTATCATTGGTCTGAATGTCATGTTGACTTTTTTCGAGGGTTGAAAAGAAATATGGAACAAACAGATAATGAGTGTTCATTCAAGTATCCAATAAATTTCATACAATTTAGTGAAAATTTGAAATGTAAAATTAAAATATCTATTTTTTGTCTAAATAATAGTTGCGACCTATGCGGTTTAGGTTGTGCCTAGACTGGTTTATGTGGGCTAGGTGGATGCCTACGTAGATCTAGGTGCTCTTTCTTATTTTTCTTAAAAACGCTTAGCGATTAATGGTGACGGTGTCCAGCTACCTAGCATCTAGGCCAGGACATTTAGAACACTAGTTTTTTCTTGTTCCATTCGGTAAAAGCTCATGAAAAATCCTCTTTCACGTATATATATATGAAATGAATCACAAGTCTTGGGTTTGATTTGAGGTCACTTTGGTAGATGTTCCGGTCGCATTTCGAGTTTTAAGGATCAAAGTTTAAGTAATAATATGTTCCACAATTCCAGTTATGAATACGTTGTAAAACATTGAACCTAATATATTCCAGACGACAATTAGGTGTTTTCCAGATAAAACGTATTCAAAACATACCATAAAAAAAGAAAACGAAAATAATCTTTACTGAGTATGGGCGCTATAAAAATATGGCTCAAGTCTATAAGCTGCACCTTCAACCTTTTCAAACCCGATATGCAATTGAATCCATAGAGATTTCTTCATAGATTTCAGATATTACTTAGTGCCGGAAACACTTATAAGGTCTGTAGTACCAATTTGTAGTTAAGATTAGTCAATTGCATGTACTTCTTATTCTTGAATATGTTATTGACATGTGCACCTATCTTTATTTTTATTTTATTTTATTTACATTAGATATTGAAATTAATCAGACTGGTGATTCTCATTGTTTTGCAACATCATATCATAGATGAGTAGAAATTTCTACTTAAAACTCTTTGTGTTTGAATCACATAGTTTTGTGTTGATGATAAGAATCGTTCATATTATGAATCACTCTGTAAAGATCATTTTTGCAAAAAAGAATAAATTAAAACTAAGGTCGTATAGTCAATCTATTGTGAAAAATACATATATGGTTCATAATGCTTTTATCAATTTCGTTCATCTGCTTTATACAGTTCAATGATTAAACGACCATAGTTTTAATTGATTTTTTACAGTGGCAATATTTAAAAAGTAATTTATAATATAAACAGTTTTAATCATAAGCACGAAGTTTTATGATATGAATCATCAACGAACAATTTTAAGTATGAACTGTGCAAGTAACAAAGGACCAAAGCCTCAGTTAGACCAAAATCCAGGGACGATTATTGCTTTAATTTTCTATTACAAATAATTGGCGCTCTCTCCTCTTTATTTCCATCTGGTTTTGATTTTTGTTTTATTTTGGAAAGAAAAAAAAACTCTTCGTAGCAGCAATGGCAAAGAACAACGGCGTAGACATCGAGCTGGAGGCTCAGAACAAGGACATTGCTGAGCAAATTGGAGGTGCCAATGCCAAAACAGAACATCAAGTACCATGTTTGTACGAAATTCCCGACCCACTTCCTCCTTTGATGGAACTGTATGACTTTGGTAAGACGAAAGTGAGTTCTACTGGTCGACCTGAGACCGAGAAACAAGGTAAAAGGAAATGCTACGAAGAACATGGTTGCTGTGAGCTTCCTGCTCCAGCGTTGAAGAAAAGAGGAAAAGAAGTAACGAATGACGATGCCGGTGGCCTCCCAGATATTGTTGAACCACTCCCAGAAAATCTTGATCAACTGTGGGAGGACCATTGGACTCTGGAGAATTTCTTTGATAATGTGCCTGAATTTTAAGTTCTAGCTTAGACACAGTCTTTTTTTTTTTTTTTTAGGTCGATTGCTCCTTTAAACAAACTAGTCCGAACTATTGAAGAAAAATAGTTATTAAGTGGACAAACTAAAATAAATCAAACTGCCGTTGAGCGGTTTGGGCTTGAGACCAATGTTGTTTTATTTTTATTGTTGCCCCGCTATCCAAAGTTATATTATATGTTTTCAGTGTTTTACTTTTAAGAACTTACATTTATACAGATATTATCATTTGTTAAATATAAATAATATCATTTGTTAAAAAAATATAAAATTTGTTTATAAAAACTTCTAGCTTGGTTGGGCAAGAATACATCATCCTACTGATGGACTTCAGAATTTCGAGTTCTCGAATTTCAAATTCTTCTTGTCCAATATTGCTTTATAAAAAACAAAATTTTGTTCAAATGGGTAAGAGAAAATGAGATGGAGTTTAGAATGACAAGTTGGCAACTCTAGTGGAGAATTAGAAGGTTCTTTTGGAATGTATTTGTGTGTCTGGAGCTCGCGAACTGAAAGATTCAGAACATTTAAGAGAGTGAGAAAGGAATTCAGGTCGTTTAAGTTTTTTATTTTTGTGAAGTGAGTCAGTGAGATGAGCTAATATGACGTATGATTGAAACTAGAAAAATGCTAAGGAGACTTTTTCAAAAGTAGGACTGTTTATGAACTCTCTGCCACCTCTTTTTATTTTTTTTACACAATGTTTTATAATGATGGTGCGAATATTGTGTCAAAAACATGATGTGGCGGAGTTCATAGAAAATCTCACTTTTAAGAGGGTCTTGTTAGCACTTCTCTTGAAACTAAGTGGTTTGAATTTGCAAGTAGCCCTTTACTACAGTAGTGAAAAAAAGGAGAAAATGTTATGCCCTTATATAATGACGTAGGTTCAAACTTTATCGATGATTAATCTAACATTTAGCTTACTAACCCATTTCTAATAATAAAAAAAAAAAAAAAAGTGGTCTGAATCTCCTGACACAGACCGGTTTTTTCTCAACCGAGCATTTACATAGGATTGGGCGCCACTTGAACAACTTTTTCAAATATCTGAATATCCAGCAAAAAATTGTCCCTTTTCAAGCAAAAAGCTCCAGTCTTTGGTTTCTGAACCTTCTTCTACAGCAGCCTAGGGTTTCCCATGGACGGCATGAACGACCATGAGAGAGCCATTGCTTGGCTTTGGGCCATTGAAGCCCTCGCAAGCTTCAAACAAGTTGACGCATCGCTTTTACACGGTATTCACAAACCTACATTCTTACTTCAATGTTTGAAATTTTCCTTTAATTTTTTTTTCCAATCAATCTGTGTGAGTGAGTAGATTGAAGAAGATTAGGGTTTTTTTCATGGCGTTTTGGTACTTTTTGGTGGCCTTTTCAGATTTGATTGCGTTGGCTCCACCATTGCCTGATGATATGGGGAATAATGCAAAGGAAAGGGTTGCTTTGAAATCTTTGGAGAGTTTGTTCAAGTTCGATTCTTGTAATGTGACGAGTGGTGATGTTCCTTCTTCTGCCCAGCGTTCGAAAATCGGCTTTAATTTGACGGAAACTTGTCAAAATGTTCTCAAACGCATTGTAAATGAGGTGAAGTTCCCAACTTTTTGGCTTTAAAGTGTAGGTAATTTGGATGAGTATCTAAAAGTGGTAGCTTTTGTGGCAACCCATATTCATTCAGTATTTGTACCCTTTACGGGATTGAGTCCGTTTTTGTTCACCCCTAACCCTGGTGTAGCCTTATCCCCCTTTAACATTGTGGCATGATCTAGAATGCGATAATGCTACACCAGAGTTTGGCGGGTGAGCAAAAATGAACTCTCTAAGATTTTTGGTAGTGGCTATATTTGAACTCAACTCTCTAAGATTTTTGGTAGTGGCTATGTGAAGCATACAAATATTTCTTTTGTCAGACGCCAGAATCTGATTTGAGAACGGGTGGACCGGGGCTGTTGAAATGGGATATTCAACCCTTTATTATGCATAAAAGAGCTTCTTTGCCCAAATGTGCATTGAAACAGGTAAGCCTTTGGCTTTTCTTTGCATATTTTGCCCTTCAATCGATTTTTCTGTATTGTTTAGAAATGAATTTGTGGAATTCTTTTCATGAACAGCTGAAAGATTCGATTCTTGATGGCACACATCTACATGCAGACGTCTTGAGAAAAAAAGGCGGTTTAACACTTAGAAATGATGGAAATAGAGTTCTTTTGAGAGATAGTAATCCCAGGCTCAATGAGAGTGGCTCTAATGCTCAAAGCATGGGAGTCAAGGGAATCGCAGATCCTCTGATTATTGAGCATGAGAATAAACTATTGGAAGAATATCTGAGTAATGCAAATCTATTTCCTTCCAAAAGGCATAGGATTTCCTCAGATGCTGAAAACATGGAAGATGACAACCATAGTAGCGTGAATGATTATGATGACTGGAAAATAAAATCCAAGAAGATGAAGCGGGATGCCTCTTACATTTCAGAGTCTACAGAACAGAACCAAATTCCTTTACATGGAAAAGAACAGTTGGAAGATTTGTCTGAGAGGGAAAGCTGTGACTTGGCTGAAAATCAGATGGGAATGATGGAGGAAGGCGTGGTCTTAGAGGATTGTATTGATATTTATACTTCCTCAAAGAGATGTGGACAAAGCAGCGGCGATGCAATCCTTAAGAGTCAGTCAGAAAATCATCTTAATGCCACTTCAATGCCTCAAGATAAATTTATGGATGAAGCCCATCAAAATTTATGTATTGATCAAGCCAAAGATGATGGTGGGATTCATCCTGAACCAATAACATCAAGTGTTGCTCCTCCAGATGGAACTCAACAAAAAGTTTCTGCTAAAGTAGCAACTTGTAACAATGAGCATGAAAGTCATATTAAAGCATCACCTCCTGTTTCTACCGAGGGACCCCAAAACAAGAGCATCTCTGAAAGCGGCAATGGCTTGGTTATGGAGAATCTGGCAGATGAAAACCATAATAGTGTAATTGGTTGTGATGATTGCTGTGTAATTACCAAGAAGATGAAGTGGGACCCCTCATATGTTTTACGGTCTATAGAGAAGAACCAAATTCCTCTACATGTAAGAGAACTGTTGGAAGATTCATCTGAAAGAGATGTTCCACTTCCGGAGAGAGAAAGGTGTGACTTGGCAGAAAATCAGATGGGAACAATGGACAAAGGCAAGGTCATAGAGGATGGTCATGATGATCATACTACCTCAAAGAGGTGCGGACAAAGCACTGACCCTGCAGTCATTAAAATTCAGACAGAAAATCCTTGTAATGCCGGTTCATTGCCTCAAGACACATTTCAGGATGAAGTCCCTAAATATACATATAATGATGAAGCGGAAGATGATGGTGGCCTTCATCCTGAACAAAGAGCATCTGTTGTTGCTGCTCCAGATGAAACCCTGCATAAGATTTCTGCTGAGGTATTCAATCGTAACAGTGAGCATGATTTTCATGTTGAAGTATCACTTCCTGCATCCACAGATGAATCCCAACAGAAAAGCATGGCTAATGAAGGTAAAGGCGATGAACATTGTCCTGAACCGAGAACTTTAGGTATAGCTTCACTTGATGAAACCCAGAATGATTCTAACAGTGAGTGTGATTCTCATATTAAAGTGGCACATCCTGCATCTGACGAGGAGTCCCAGCAGAAGAGTATTGCTAAAGAAGCGAGAGAGCTCTTGGACTGGCTATGTCATTATGAATCAAAGACCATGACTGATAGTGTTGAATTTCATGATGAGAAGATTGATGCTGTCATGAAGAAGCATGCTTTGTTGAGCTCTCAATCCACAGCCAGTCAATACTCCGAGACAACCAAAAATGTTTGTAAGAAGCCTAATGAAGGCGGTCTGTTGATCTGTGATACCAGTAATTGCCCTGTTGTGGTTCATGAAAACTGGCTGCGTTCCTCAGACATTTTATATGAGAAGGATAACTTTAAATGCCCCTTCTGTTCGTATTCTCTTGCCCTTACTGAATACCTTGATTCTAAGAAAAGAGCCTCAATGTTGAAGAAAGACCTAGATGCATTTATTCATACTCTGGAACATCAGCCAAAAGAAAGCCTCGGAAGCGAGCACAACAAAGAGAATATCTGCATGAGAAAATTTCATGAGGATCTGAATGCGAAAACTAAAAATCATCAGAATGGGCATTTGGGAAAGAGTGCAGAACATCTCGGAAAGCAATGTGAAGAACGTGAAAATGAAGTCAATTACCCTCAACTACAGAATATTATAGGCACCGAGCAACAAGTAGCACCGTCTGGATCTTGTATTCCTAACAATTCAGAGTCTAGAGATGAAAGTGTAACTCTAGTTGGTATAAACTTGGATGTATCAACTGGTGAAAAAATATGGAAAGAAAAGGTGATCCAGAAGTGCATAGCTGTGGTAGGGCTTGATGGATGTCAGAACCAAGTACCAGCTAAAGGTGATACTTTGTCCGTTAAAAATACAGTAAGCCTCCTTGTTGACCAAAGACAAGCTGTAGTATCTGAGAAAGGAGGTCTGCAGCAGCACATTAATTATGCGCCAAGGGAACCAGGCCATGCACTTAATGTTGATTCTGAGCAAGCTGGTGCTCAGAAGTCTAGCACTTCCAATTACAACACAAGACTCCGGAAGAAAATTCCCTAGTAAGTTATTGACTTATAAAGTGTTTTCATTTCTATTTTCTTTGTAGCGTCTACTTTCATGCCTTATTGAAATGTAAAGTACACTGTCTACATGCTCAATAATGTTTGAATAAAGTCAGTATTTATGTTACCCTGATCTTTAATTGGAGTCCTGTATTTCCCCCAATAAACCCATATACTTACCTGTTGATTAGAAAGCAGTGATTTGAGAATTCGATTGCAGTAGTTGTGAAGTGAGAATAATCCTTTTTTTGTGTCTTGTAGCACATCCCCGCCCATCTCTCAGTTAAGGCGGGTAAAAGTTCCGTGGAGCATTGAGGAGGAAGAAATGCTTAAGGTTCCTGGGTTTCTATCTAATTTACCTTTAGAAAATTATGTTGGGTTCCATTTTAAATTGATTACCTGACTCTAGTTAATTAATTGCATGTATGTTGCTTCAAAATATTTGATCATAACTCTTTTATATGACTGCAGAAGGGAGTTCAAACCTTTTCAAGAATTGATGAAAGAACTCTTCCATGGAAGCAAATATTGGAGTTTGGTGGTTCTGTGTTTCTGCATAGTCGTACGCCAGGGGACCTTAAGGACAAATGGAGGAACATATGCAGACGGCGTCCGAAGTCGAATTGAAGTGGTCAGTTACATATAAGGATATGCTCTCTTATTTTGGTCCAACTCTGAAGTTTCATTTGTCATGGTACCAATTTCCATAAGAAACCATTAATACTGAACTATACTGGGAAACTTTTGAACGAGGCAATGACTGCTTCTAGCAGTTTACATTTCAAACTTGAATTTCTTGTTTTTCGTTTTAATCTTTATATACCTCAAATTCATTTCCAAATGGTGTGGTGCTAAATTTCTACTTGATATTGATATCAGAGACCTCATTCCTTAATCAAAAACTGATTTCAAATATCCGTTGATCCATGCTGCCCTCCAGAATCTTTCCTTTCCAAATGCATGATGTAGGAATTTCAGATCAATAGTTGTATTGAAATCAACCTTAAAAACTAGCCCTCCTTTTTAAACGGTTACTCTCTTTCATCACTTCATTTGCAGTGTTATCATATTTTATCTCAAATGTTACCCTTCGGGATAACTTCAACCTTCTCTTGCGTTCGATCTAACCCCTGTATTGCTATGAATCCCTGATATAGCCTTTGTCCTAAAAATATGATTGCTTAATAGCATGTCAGCCATCTTTCCCCAGCCCTTCAAATCCCCCACCACCTTGGCAAGTTTATATAAAATTTCTGGGCACAACTCCTGTGTCTGGATTCTGAAAAAGTGACGATGAATGTGGCCCTATATATTTCTCAGACCAAACTCTTGTATTTCCCTTAAAAATTTCAGTTGATTGTCGCGATGACTTTCACAATTTTACTTTTTACTCTTTTTCGGTTCCACTCAGAAACATATTTGTACCTACTTAATCTTAAATGCCTTCTATTTTACAGATGATGAATTTGATGGATGAAGAGAAGGGAAAAAGTCGCAGTTGTGGTGGATGACATGATTGACACAGCTGGTTAGTTTTAATGCTCTAATGCTTTCTATAAAAGAGAACATATATAGAACTTATGAACACATAATATGAATACGGCAAGGAGCCATTCCTCCTGACAAGCTGATACATATACTGAAGTGACTGATTAAAACATAACATTTCCTTCCCCCTCTTTCGTGATGTTATCATGTATGATTAATGGAACAAAACATATTTAGTTGTTGACCGAAATCATGTTTTAAGGAAAATCAAGGGAAGTGAAAATTGTGTTCTTTCAGGATCCAATTTGAAGAAATCAGCATGCTCTTAAGGAGCCGAACCCAGTCTTTGGACCATTTTGGCCAGAGAACTTGGTCAGTCCGTAGCAAGATTGGGGAATGATTGGAGAAACTGTACTAACCACATCCATCTCAGGTTTAAATTGCAAAAGGTTTCTCAAAATTTGTTCTGGTCACGAATCAAGATATACAACTGCATAACTTAATGACAAATGTGGTTACCAGAATCACACGTTAACTGATCTGTTCTAATTTCAATCACGAGGGACCATGTGTTTGAACTCAACTATGGAATTAAATTTTTTGAAGAGATGAGAAACCTCGGTTCATTGACAGGACCATCTGATAGCTTATTTTATATCTGTTTCCAGATCTGTAAGTTACATTTTCTACTGTTAGTTGTGAGTTCAACTTGTTGCTTGTCTTGGCAGTTTTGTGGCAGGTAGGTATGTGTTTTGGTATTTTGTGCTTACTCCGAGTTTGACGGATGATGGAGATTATTTTTGTCATGCCAAAGGGGAATATGGGCGGAGTTGAGGAAGTAGGAGTTAGTCATTGCCAGCCCTTGATGTTATTTATGCTGTGCTGATATGCTTTTTTGGGGATGTTGTTAATCTGTAAATAGAACTGCATGCAACAAGCCACAAGACTGTCTTGTTGCCATAATTCTTATGAAAAATGAGGAAAAATGCTACTGACCTATTTAATCGAACTTTCTCATTCTGTTTTTTTGGTTGTCCTTATTATGCAATGTTGCACGATGATCTGAACCGTTTACTTTCTAGTTTTCCCCATCAATATCAGCTCCACAAAAAATGATTCATAAAATGTTAAACTGTTGGATTAGTGTTGTTAAAACTTCAGTGTTTACATAATAACAACGCGCAGCCGAGCGTTCATGTCATTCATCTTCCTGTGATTCAAAACCTGAGGCTCACATCATGAGTGACAAACCCAAAATACAAAATGTTCCAGAGAAGGAAAAAGATGTCGAGTTTCATCTGAAAACCAGCAGAAGACCACCAGGAGAAGCCACAGTTGATCTCAATGAGTTTCTTCAGCAGCTGGGGGTGGGGGGGGGGGGGGTACTGGAAAAGGAGAGACAATCAGATGCAACTGCGAAAACAGAAACTTTCATAGCTGCGGAATCTTCGATCGGAGAAGTTCATGATGAATTCGGGCACTTTGCTGACAAGAATATCAATTGGGATGCGTTGATTGAGATGCATAGAATTTCAAACCAAGGAGCAGATGCTTGTTCCTTCCCCACTTCCACTGGGAACTTAAAGAAAAATTAATTATAACCTTGTTTACCAGATGGAAGAGTAGGACCTGCTTTCGCGGGAGTTCGTTAGAGAACGGCAATTAGTAGTCACCTAAACATAATTAGCATGTTATGTCGTTAGATTGTCAATCTGATAATCCTCTCCATCCATAACTCTTCAGTCACATCTCTGATCATGAATTGAGAAGATTAGTCCATTGCCCTAGTAGTTGCAGAGACTGCACCGGAGGTGCCGTTTCCTTGGTATGAATCAAGTATCGTTATGCATAACATAACATAACATCAGATAATTGGAGAAGGAAAAGTGCATTAAACAAACTTTCAATTGGTATCAATACCATTAAGAATTATAAATTGTGTTTAATAGGTGTAACTTGTAAGTTTTCCTCTGCTTCAAAAGCAGTGCACGATCTTAGGGGAACTATATCCCCGAGGTATGGCATCGATCACCAAACACAGCCAGTTCGTAGATGCTTGTGGGGGCAGAGAAGCCGATTTTGCGATTTTGGTCATTCATTGCTATACTCTGAGGCACTTAGATACTCACCATGCTCCTCAAAATACTCTATCAATCGCTTCAGGAATGCATCACTAGTCACCGTGTCTGTGTCGCATACAAGACAGCATTGCCTTCTTGCACGTGTTACAGCCACGTTCATTCGCCTGTGGTCCTTCAGAAACCCTACCTGAATTTTTTGAAAATGCTCAAAATTTAATTTCTTGTATCATAGAATATTTGGTAATTGAGATGTCCACCGTCGAAATTTGAAAAAAAAATGCATTAAGAATGGTACCAGGGATACACGAATACCTCTTTTTTTGAATTTGACCGAACCATTGAAATAATGATGGCTTCCTTTTCCCGGCCCTGGAAGCCGTCAACTGTTGAGATTTCCAAATCCTTTAGCTTGTCGTCATTGCTTCTCAACATCCTGAGTAAGACAACCTGCAATACTAGGTCTGATATAAGAGAACAAACAAAAATCGATGCCATTGCTACAAGTATTTTCATGGAATGCTTGATTTTTATCTAGAAGCTATTGTAATCCTTCACCTTATTTAGAGAAATAAAGCCCACAAAAGAAGCAATTGCTTACAAGAACACAGGAAAAAGAAAGAAACTTAAGTACCTGTGCAGCATAAGGAGTGATAATTCCAATATCAGAAGCCTGAACACCACTTTGAACAAGCCTCTTGGCATGGGCAATAGCAACATCGGCTTCCCCCTCATTCAAAGTGCTTTCTTCTTCATCCTTCTTTTCTTCCATGTCACACCTGACACCGATCAGCACAAACAGGCACAACAATTATACAAAAAGGCGTTTCTTTCATTAAAAGAACTAGGAAGGCTGTTAAGACAATGTGGTATAATATCTACTCATTTCTCACAACCTTCAAAATGTCTCTACTAGTCGCAATCCTACACTAACCTAAGAAAAAAGAAAAATAATGGCACTTCATGTGGTGTTACCGTGCTCTACTATGAATGATGGTTTTCCAAACGACATGATAAAATGTCACAACTCACAACACAATGTAGAATTGGCATTAATTTTGAATAAGCAATTATTCCATTAAGCGTTCGTATCAAGCATTTTCACATGAAATTGGCATGAAATAACCAAATAAATGGTAAAATAATCATCTCAACATAAAGCATATCACTGATGTTGTATAGTGTAATACATTTGAAAAATAGTCTATGTTTACCTCAGGCCTAAATAACACGATATCTTGTCCGCATGTTTGTGTCTATGGGTGTGTGCGCGCAGTGTCATTTCAGTATTAGGAACAAAACACCAAAAACACGAACTGGTACCCCTAGGTTTTACTTGACAGTTATCTGATACCAGCCTGCTGGTATTCCTACTGTTTAACATTCCACTCAAGTGCACAATGGCACTCTAAACCAGATTTCAAGAGGATATTGGTGATTTACTTCATATGATTCTAAACCTCCTCCAAAAAAGACAAAAGTATTCTCAAAACAAACACGCTGAATGTTGGGTATATGGCAAGTATACACAGCATACCCAGCTGTGTCTATTAGAAGAAGGGTCGGTTCTGTAGAAGAGGTCGTCTTTACATCCTCCAGGTCCAAAAGCATATGCCCAGCAACACTTGAATGGGCCTTAATCTGTAATGAGATTAAACCACAAAATAATTTAACACAATCAAATGTAATGACTTTAATTTAATTTTCATTTAACATAATAAAAATTCTAACAGTCGATTGTATAGTTCTACTTGGTAAGCCAGCATCCTGGCATGCTCTGAGCACCTTACTGTTGTAAAGCTCCTTTGATGACCAATCCATGATCCGCTCGTGCATGCGGTACTGGACGGTGAGCATAGACATGACTTCATTTCCATATATGTCTGCAAGGCGTTCAAAGAGGGTCCTTCCTAGACCCTTCTTCTCAGCTTCAGCACTCTGAATGGTAGGAGGAAGCTGAAGATGGTCGCCTGCAAGTATACATCTTGAACCCTAAAACAATGAACTCAGATACTTAAAAGTGAATATTGGAACAAGCTGTACATGTATAACAAATTGCTTACAATGTAACTTTTTGGCTTTGGCTTTTGATTAATTTAAAATTAATAAAGACCTTTTCTTTGCTTGCAACCATACAATAAACAGCGCACTTTTCCATGGAGTGCAGCTGTAACTTCAATATTTTACTTTTTCTTCCTTGAATTTTAGTTTCCTCAAGTAACCAAATTTCTGAAAGAACACCCATAACTTTCTTTGAAGTCACCAACCAGCATGCATGACTATGTGAATGCATATGTGCATTTATGGAAATACATATGCAAATTCCTGTGCACATGTTTAAGTATATACCTTTGTATTAGAGCATTACCTTTAGTAAAGCCATCCAGCATGCTATCTCAAGTGCCTGAGCAGCTTCATCAATAATCACCAAATCAAATGAAGTATTGTCAAGCTTGCGAGAAGATGCCCCAGTCAAAGTTGCCAAAATCACATCTGCATTTTTTATTACATCTGTTACAGCTAGCTGCTGCCTTTTACGCTCTTCCCTAGAAAGAGTCCTAAGCTCCTTCTGGATTTCCCTCCTAGTGTTCTTATCTTTGGTCCTTAACAGCTTCCCATTTAATGCCTGGAAAAATGCAATGCAAGTTCCTATGATTAAGCCATGCAATGGTCAGTGAGACTTCAGTCTTCAGCATATTAACCTCTATAATTAAGTCCTACTAAATAAATCTGAGTGTTGAAGGAGGGGGTGGGAATGGATGTGATTAGGATAGATTAGAGTTTTGATCCCTTCCAATGGAACCAAACGAAATAGTACTGCTGAATAAATGAATACTAACAAGTTAGTTTAGTAAAACATCTCTATCAACAAAAAATGAATTGCAACTTTTATTTGAAAGTGCATATATGCATAGATATCAAGTTCAAGGTTCAATTTTACTCTGCATAACTACCTTCATTTCCTTCCGAATGTCATTTGCCAGTGAACTGTTATCCCCTCGCAAGACCTGGCAGAAAGAACAATGGTATATGGTAAGGACAACATTTCAAACAAATATAGGCAAGTAATTATATGATAAAGGGAGTGTCTTAAGAGTATGTTCTTTTTTTATAAATTATCACGACATTTCTATAGTTTGTTGTAACACTGAATTTATCTTCTTATTTTATTTAATTTAGACGAACTAATGGTTTCTGATTTGGTTTATTTTCCAAGGTTGATCTTTTAAGGAGTGATTAATAATTTGATGTCTTGGATCTTTAAACCACATTGTTGGGTAATCCTAATCCCCACATGTGATCTTTTCTTTTCTTATAAAAAGGAATCGTATTTAAAAGTTTTGCCCTATATGCACCATAATATAAAAAAATTAAAGCATCTACTTAGAAATACACATCCATGCTACCACTATCTGTAATAATAGAAGCAGAAATGAAAGTACTTGCAACTGAGGATGGCAGAAGGGTTATATTTTACATCTATATGTGTGTGTACACATTTATACATATTAACAGAAGATGCAAAGAAAGACAAGTATCCATGGCTTGCTCAAACGAAGAATAGGAGAAAGAAGATTAGTGTTGCAGAATGCACAGATATCATATAATATTGCTAATCAGAATAAGTACTCAATATTTATATAAGAAGTCAAATCTTCCATTAAAAAAGAGAAAGAATTAATTTTCTTTTCGTTTTACGAATTTGAAGAATTCGCATACCTGTGCATCCAGTGCACTGTCCAGTACTTGAGGTAGTAAACGTGCAGGATGCCCCAATCTCACTAACTTTACTCTGAATAAAGTAACAGCAATAAGTAATGAGGTAGTAAGCATGCAGGATGCCTCAAACCCACTAACTACTATCTACTTGATGAAACAAAAATCAGTAGATATAACAACGACCAACTTAAATTAACAACAGATTTCATATGTTAAACCGATGATCTCAGCACAATGGGGTGCAACAGACCTGGTGATGATTATTATCAGTTGAAATATAAAATTATTGTGTTTAGTTAATTACTAATATGGTAACAATATGAGCTAAAAATGTGGGTCATAAATCAACTAAGTCATTGGTCAACAAGCTAGTCCTGAATAGCTAACTGAAAATGTCTACCGAAGAAAGATTTTCCTAATTGACATATGGAATTCAAATAAGGGTGCCTCTATTGGTACCCAACTTTTATACAAACAAGTACACCCATTTTTACATCTTGACCCATCTCTTTTAAAAAAACAGTATAAAAACTAAGTGACCAAAAACATTGCCCAACAACTGCACCCAATTCACTCAACTCCATCAAACTCAACCACTGAACCCAACAAGGAAGCATCTCTACTGAGGTCTATGTGTAGATCTCTAAAGTCTTCGAATTTTTTGTATATTCAGTTAAAATTGGGATAAAATATGGGGTCAAAACTTAAAACTTTGGAATCACAGTAGGACATACTACGAACAGGTGATATGAAATGCATATATAAAAGTCAAAATCAGTTCTTTATGTACTCATAAGATTTGAACTTTTGGTATATGGTCTGCAACCTTAGAAATAGAATGACAGCAGAACTAGTGAAAGAAAAATAAACAAATATAAGAAGAAAGGAGAGGGAGACCAGAGGAAGTATTACAGAAAGCTTATATTCGAATTTTTTGTTTTTTCGGTTAAAATTTGAATAAAAGATGGGGTTAATATTTGGAATCACAGTAGGACATACTACGAATGGGTGACATGAAATGCATATATCAACATCAAAATCAGTTCTTTATGTACTCATAAGATTTGAAGTTTTGGTGTATGGTCTGCAACCTTAGCAATAGGTTGACAGCAGTACTAGTGAAAGAAAAATAAACATATATAAGAAGAAGGGAGAGGGAGACCAGCAAAAGGATTACAGAAAGCTTAAATTCAGGACCTTGATATTTCTTTTTGCTATAGTTAGAACTAAATTTTCAATTAAAAACTGAAATCCTCAAATATAAAGGCAGTGAAATACTTGTGGCGTGCAAGTCGCTCAACAATGTTGTCAACAGCAATATTTGAAGCAGCACATGCAAGAATCTTTGATCCACGTTTAACTTCTTGCAAGATAATTTCCACCACAGTTGTAGTCTTTCCCGTGCCAGGAGGTCCATGCAGCAAAAATACATTCTTTGATGACAGGGCCTTTGAAATGGCATCTCTCTATGGAGCAAAGAAAAGAGAAAAATTAAAATACAAAAAGAAATGCAGAAGGTGCTTTAGATACTGAGAAATGAAACAGGGATAAACCTTGAAATACTGTATGCATGAAAAGCGAACTTGGATTAAGATGCTCATCAAAATAAAGAGGCACAGATACACAAAACAACAACAATAGGCATGGTCCTATATTGGTCAACTAATATTCAGAAGTACTCAAGGAAGAAATAACTTATCAGCTAATATTTGCTTAATCTCACAAAGGAGATCTAAAGGTGGAATTATTTGAACAAATAATAGCAGTTTTATTCATTATGTAATTCAAACCCTAATTGTTAATAATACACAAGAAATTGATATAAAATAGAAGAGGCTATGATATCCTTAGGAACCCAATGGAGCAATTATGTGATCCCGTACGTGATGACATTATGTGCAGTGCGCACACACGTATACAGTGATAAAAATATGCATGCATTTAAATAGTCTATGTTTGTGTTTGTTGAATGCATGTTTGTGTGTGTCATTCACTGAAGCCGCTGATTCAGAAGAACACCATTAATAGAATGTGTGATATTAACTCAAAATGACACATTTTGAGTGGAGGACCGTTATGATTCAGAAGAAAGGGGAAAAAACATAGAAAATGTTCAAAATATTAGGCTTAAGGACCTGAGAATGATCAAGGTTTTTGTTAAATGGGGTAAATGTGACATCCTTCTTGGACACTGTTGGTGTCCTCTCTCCAAATAAGACAGGAATTAAATCAGATGCGGGGCCCTTCTGCACACCTTTGCTCAATTGTATCAAGGCATCCTTCATCCTACGATATGTCACCTGAAACGAGCAGGTAATATTTTCAGCATTTTTTCCAATGACTAATAATCTGGCAGGGAATGAGAAATTAAAGATCAGTAATGCCTACATAGACAATCGACTACTAAAAACTTTGATTGTTTCCTCATTGAGAGCAATATTAATGGTAGAAACCAAATTTTAAATAACATTCCATGTCAATGATCAATATGATTTCAGGTAGGAAAGCTTTAAGAATCATATCACCATACTAACTAAACTGTAGCCTCTAAAGCAATGTCACAATTGAGGAAATTTGAGGAAATAAATCGAAGACTTAAGAATTTGAATTTCATACCTCATTTCCCAGTTTCTCTAACCGTAGAGGACTATTTAAACCATCTTCAGGAACATCATCAAAAGCAACAATGATTGATGAGTCCTGTTTAAAAAGCGCCAGCAAACCACCATCACAAGTAAGCTCAAGAGCATGATCCTCAACAACTAAAAATATGGTGACCAAAAATGCAAGCATCCCTGCACAGAATTACCTTTAACCGATAAACTACACCTTGTCCAAGAGCAGAGGCCCCCAGATCAGCCTTATTTGGTTTTAGAACAACCACATCATGGGTGCTAAACTGCAAATTAAAAGAAGAGAAAATAATTGGACAAACTGTGGATAGTATGGTATAATTTGTAGCTGGGATATCCTTCAATATGTTCGTTAAAATAACCACATCTAGCCTTGAAGTAATTTTACAACACAGTAAGTAGAGAAAACATGGCAATAAAACTCACTGAGCGTGTAGAAGCGGGAATATGGATTGCTCACCTTGTGGGGAGGAAGAACATCTGCTTTGGTGGATTGAAACTCAAGAAGACTCTTCCCCATGAGTCCAGTCTATTCTCAAAACCAAAGATATAAAGAGTTATTAGAACATTTTTATTGTTCAATGCTACACATGCCAAATACAAAAACTGTTGGCTTCAACAGACTGCATTCCTTCGTAGAAAAAAAGTTTCACCGGAAGAATTCCTATTGTTACTGAAAATGTCATCCGTGTACGTTTTTCTAATATGTTTTGACAAATGCTGCAACTCACCTGATCACTAGAGAAGTTCTCATGTAGTATCTTTAAGCAAACATTTCTATTAAAAGAAAACTAAAGGTCTGTTTGTTTAGACAAGACAGCTTCAAATTCTCTGGCAGTTAAAGCAAAACCTTTTACAACCCTTATGTTGCATTGAAGCCAAAAGTGGAAGAAAATCAAGCAAAACATATTCTACAAAGCATTATCCTAAAAAATTCTTCTGTCAAAACAAACTGAACCTAAGCATTTCTTTCTCTCTCTCTTTTCGGGTCGCCTCCGATTTTCCAAGCAATCGAATAAAGCTCGAAAGCAATAAACGGGAATCCATAGAAAAGGGGAAAGCAAATGCAACACTTGGTACCTGAGCATCAACACATTTCAAATTGAGAATGGTGGAGCCCTTCTTCTGAGCAGTGTCCAAGTTTCTGGACGACCCAGTTATGATGGAGGCAGATATCTCAGCTTCCTGATTTCCAAATTAGGTTAGCTCCATAGAAGTCCATTTCTTTGCGGCATAACAACAATCAATTGGAGTGCATGGAAACAAAAGCAGGAACAAAACTTCATGATTGATTGGTTATAGGGTGAGAGAGAGAGAGAGAGAGAGAGAGAGAACCTTTTCGAGGTCGATAAGAGGGGCGGTGGTGGAGATGAACTGTTGGAGAGTCAGAGCCGGCGATTTCTGCTTCGTCTTCCCTCCCTCCATTGTCACACCTATGGCTGTTGCTGCTGCTGCTGCTCTGCTTCTGGTGATTTGATAATTGGAGAGATGAGAGAAAGCGGTCTTGGACCGTTAGACCATCTCCGATCCTGATCTAAAATCTAAAAATATTTAGCCTACAAAATTTAGGTTTTAGCACAGAAATAATTTTTTTACTCCAACCTTTTGACCTAAAATTTTAGCTCTAGATTGTAAAAAAATGAATTAAGGCTAATTTTTATTAAATTAACTTTTTTTTAAAAAAAAATTATGTAGACTATCCTAAATTAATTTTATGAACATTTTAACATAAAAATATTTAAATTCCGATAAATTTTGAGTTTTGTGTGGATATTTGAACAAAAACATAGGTATTTATAGAGTTTTTGGTTGAATTTTAATTTAAATATTTTAGCCGTTGGATTTAAATTTGGACCTTTAAATCTTTTTTTTTACCGTTAGATTTGATTATATTCGATCTAAGCCGTTTGATTCAATATATATACATAAAAAACTAAAAAAAAAATTGAACTTGGATGATATAAAGTAGCCAACGGCCATTTTTTGCATTGTGCTGATGATATAAAGTAGCCAACAGCTACTTTTTGCATTGAAAGCTGGGGGAACACCCCCCACGTGGGGTTGCTTTTCTTCAGCAGAAATGTGGGGCCCATTTTACTTTGTGGCTTAAAATGTGACCGAAATTTAGCCCCCATTTGGGTTTTAGGTTTTAGATTTATTTTAGATCATGGGTTGGAGTGGGTTTTGGGGGGGAAGGAGAATTTTAGGTTATAAGTCATGGTTGGAGTTGGTCTTAGTGAGACGGTTATACGCACCGTTTTGAAAAGGTATTTTTTATTTTCCTATTTTCAACTATTCTTTTAACCGAATTTCTTTTCGACAACTCACCAACTTCGTCTCTCGTCTTTCTTCTAATTGATCAATGTCGTTTTTTTATATTCACCTCTGCATATCAATCTTGTCTAATAAGACTTGCTACGGAGCTATTCATTTTTATTTACGCAAAAATCGCACGACTTTGCCCAACCAACTTCGAAGTCCAAAACTAGGACCTGGACAACCATTTCATCCAACTTGTCTGAGGGCTTGGGTAGAGTCTCTCTACCACACAGACGACTAGAGCACAAGAATATCTCGTCTACTTAAATGCATACGTACATGTCATTCGACACATTGAGATAACTACTGCAATCATGTAAACCACCTCAAGATACAACTAAAGGTTAGGGCCAAATAACCGGGCCACCCTTGCTCTAGCTCAACGATATGATCGAGTTTGCTCCTTCTTCAATGCCTTTAAATAGAACTAGAGGCCTTCAAGCTTGGGACTCTCGTCAAATTCAATCTCTATGATTATATCTTGAATGATTCTTCAATCAACCCAACTGTTTTTCAGCACAAAGCCAATTGCTCTTCTGCAAAAACCAACTCTCAAGTCCTCAGCTACAAACTCAAAGCCTTCATTCAAAGCAAACACTGTCTACATTCTTATGTGAGATTGTAACTAATAAATTGTTTGCAAGCATGAGATTTGATACAATTGAAACTTTGTCCTATCCTACCTGACTACATGGAACTTTATGTTCCAAAAAAAACTTTTATCTTTTGATGGAATTAAAATGTGTGAATGCTTAGAAAATTAAAACTCGAGATGTTAGACGGTTCGTTAGAGCACCTCTAGCGGGGGAGGTTGCTCGGGGGCCAGTGGATCAAACAGTAGCAAATTGCTGGGGGGATGACCTCCAGCGTAGGGAAGCCCGAGCGACGGGCGAGGCCCGAGGAGCAGGCCCGTCGAGGATTGCCAGCCCGAGGGCTGCGTCAGGCGCGTGCATTTCACGCGCGCGTGGGCACGAGTCATCTGACAAAAAAACAGGACTGGGGCCCGCGAATTCAGTTTTGAAAAGTTACCGTTGAGGAAGCCATGTGGCTTCCCCATGTCCGTTCGATTGAAACGGTCCTATTTTATGGACCATTGGATTTCCAACGGTAAAAAACATTTAAAAATCTCATTTAATTTCATCTGTTTGATTTAAGATCAACGGTCCACGTTATTAGGCTTTGTAAATTAAAAAAAAAACAGTTTAAAAATCTCAAATGTTACCGTTGAGACACGTGGCACAATCTGGAGTGTTGGAATTTAATTTTTTTTAAATCCAATGGCAGAGATTAATTAGGTGAATAAAAATTTAAAAAAAATGTAAAAAAATTCTTAAAAATCCGAAAAAAAAATTATGAAAAAAAATTGATTTTACTTTTCTATAAATACCTTCTCATTATCTTCTACCCTACACCACAATTTCATATTTTCTCAACTACTTTCAACCACATTCCTATCTTTCTCTCAAAGTTTCAATCCAATTTTTTTCCAACAAAATGACTACTCAACCAGGTACGAATTGGACGCTTTCTTGAAGATGTTGCGTTGTGTACTAGTTGGGTTCAAGTTGCTCATGATTCGATTACGGGTAATGAGATGCAATTGCGAGAAATGTGGAGTCTTATTCATACCAATTATCTTGAGAAATTACTTAGTCAATCGTTTAGTACGTGGAGAGACGCCTTGGCACAAGCTAGTGGTAATCTTCGAAGTGGGGAAAATTTAGCGAATCAGGTAACAATATATTATTTATTTGTTTGTATTTTTTGTTATCTACTTTCATTATATTTATTTGTTTGTATTATTTGTTTGTTACCTACTTTCATTATAATTATTTGTTAGCTACTTTCATTATATTTATTTGTTTGTATTATTTGTTACCTACTTTCATTATAATTATTTGTTAGCTACTTTCATTATAATTATTTGTTTGTATTATTTATTTGTTACCTACTTTCATTATAATTATTTGGTTGTATTATTTATTTGTTACCTACTTTCATTATAATTATTTGTTTGTATTATTTATTTGTTACATACTTTCATTATAATTATTTGTTTGTATTATTTATTTGTTACCTATTCTCATTATAATTATTTATTCTCTCGCATTGTGTAGGAACTTCAAGCACAAGCTTGGTATGGTGCCAAAACCAAAAGCAAAAACAAAACATTCACCCCGTTTGAATGTTGGAATATTGTCAAAGATTGTCCTAAATTTAGAGTTGTGCATGTCGGTTCAGAAGTTTTCATGAACATCACCCCTCTACACTCTACACCTGAGCATGCCTCGCATGATCATGATGAAGATGATTATGAAGAAGTGCCTGAAATGCCCCCCGTTGAACAAGCGTCGGGGTCGACCCGTTTTCCAATTAGACCTTAAGGTAAGAAGGCTTTAAAGAGAAAAGGTAATGCTTCCAAGAATGATTATGCAAAGTATATGGAAGATCTTGCCCGCCAAGGTGAATTGAATTTGGCCCTGGAAATGGCTAAATTTGAGGCTGATAAGGCTAGAGAGGATGCAAAAGCAGCTTTTGAGAAAAAATTTGAAGCTGATGAGAGAGAAAGAGAACTACTTCGGCAAGAAAGGGAACATAGAAGAGAAGAAAGAATGGCTGAACGAGATCGTGACATTATGAAGGAGTCTTTAGAAGGGAAGTCTCCAGACTCTAAATATTTTTGGAAGTAAGAGAAAGCGGACGTGGTGCGAATGAGGCGTGTAAGAGAAGCGAGAGCAAGAGAAGATGGTCCTAGCACCACAAGAGAAGATCATCCTAGCACGACAAGAGAAGATCATCCTAGCACCACAAATTGCTTATGTGATGGTTATCATCCATTCACGAACCCATAATTTTCCAATCAATTCGGGTTGTAATTTTTTATTCATTGAATAGAGTACTTTATGTTGTTTCCAATTTATTGAATTTAGTACTTTATTTAAACTAAAAGTATATTTATTTCATTTGGTAATTTATTGAATTTAGTACTTTATGTTGTTTCCAATTTATTGAATTTAGTACTTTATTCAAAACACATTTAAACACACCAAATAAAATAACATCAACACACCCAAAAAACACACCAAATAAAAACAAACACCAAATAAAATAAAATTACATTTGAACTCACTAAATGAACTAAAAAAACACACCACATAAAATAAAATAAACACACCAAATAAAAACAAACACCAAATAAAATTACATTTCAACTCACTAAATGAACTAAAAAACCACACCACATAAAATAAAATAAACACACCAAATAAAAACAAACACTAATGAACTTAAGTATCTTCAGCACCCCTCAATTCCCACTGGTGCTCTATCAAGTCAAGTTGGCGGGCATTGTGCATATATGACCTTTGAAGTGCAGTATATCGTTGAATGATCATTTCATTGTAACGTCCATCCCTTTCTAATGGCTCATGTTGCACGGGCTCATCGGTGGCGTCATGAGCACAATATATACGTGTTCTTGAATTGTTCATCGTGTCTGGCTCATATTCATCAACGGCTTCATAATCGTACTCATTTTCCACAATCATGTTGTGAAGAATGATGCACGTCATCATGATGGATCGAAGCAACTCTACATCAAACAATCTGGCAGCACCCCTGATGATCGCCCAGCGAGCTTGGAGGATACCGAAACAACGCTCCACATCCTTCCTGCACCCCTCTTGACATCTTGCAAAGTGTTTTTCCTTTGCACTTCGCGGACGTGGCACTGTTTTGACAAATGTTGACCACCTTGGGTAAATTTCATCAGCTAGGTAGTATGGCCCGTCGTACATACGTCCATTGACCTCATACATGACTTTTGGTGCCTTTCCTTGCAGGACATCGTTGAACACTAGGGATTGGGCAAGGATGTTGAGGTCATTTTGAGCTCCCGGAACCCCAAAAAAGACGTGCCAAATCCATGTATCAAAAGATGCCACCGCCTCCAAAATGATACTTTTTTTATCCTTTTCTGTCCCCATAAACGCCTTGCCATGCACTTAGACAATTTTTCCAAGTCCAGTGCATACAATCAATGCTTCCAATCATCCCTGGAAAACCTCGCATCTCGCCTTTCTTTAGAAGCCTTTGCAAGTCCATATGAGTAGGTTTCCGGAGGTACTTTGCAGTGTAGATAGATTCGATTGCCGAACAAAACCTCAACAGGGACTCAGGAATGGTTGATTTTCCCATCCTCGTTATCTCGTCCACTT